AAAATGGATGTAAAAAACAATGCATACATAACTAAAATACATTTCAATTAAAGAGGAAATATCCTTAATTTTTGGTATTTGTTAGATTGGCGAAATTTGTTATCACAACCTCCCTGATGAGGCTCTGATCGACGTGTTTATTGAGACTCTGGATGTCTACAAGACTGAGTCAACTGCTTATGTTATAATATTTATACTAATTTAACCTAAAGCTTGTCTCTCGCATTGGTCATAAATACAATCATAATTCAAAAGACTCAAACTAACACAGAATAACTATAATAACTGTAATGCTCACAACCAGTGCGACCAAATGCAGGTCCACTGAGCTGCTAGCTAATACTGGTCTTGTTATAAAGATTAAAGGAAAAGAAACGAGCCTCCTGAAGGCATCACTTGGAGCATCTTTCACGCTTTTATAGTCTATAAAGCCTGATCGTAAAAATAAAATAAAATAACTGTTATTTGCAGCCTTAGACTACAGCTCTGCTCTCTTACATACTGAACATATTCTGTATCTATACAATCGCACACACGCAGCAGATATTTTTCTGCTGCCTTCATGCAGTCATCCGTCATTCTTTCTAGCAGTGCAGACAAAGGAGCGACAGTGAGCGGAGAGTCCAGACTGGCAGGGAAAGATACCGTCTATCTCTCATTTAGCAAAACCAGGCAGTTGGGGGGGGTGGAGTTTATATTTCTCAACTGACCTTATCAAGCAGCTCTTTGTTCGGGGTCTAATATTTACACTGCAAGAAGACCTAAATGGGTGCCCAGTGCTGTAAAACACACCCTTCCCTTGTTTGTCCTTGATCAGAATGAACCACAGTGGAGTGAAGCCTGCATTTATTTAGCCAACAGATGACACTGAGAGAGGAGAAGCAGGGAAACAACAAGTCTGCGTCCTCCAGTCTGTCGCTGCCTCCTCATGCCAGCCTCCCGCCCACAGTCTCGTCTGCAGAGCCAACCCCGTTAGCTCCGACAGCTGTTATCACAATAACTGAGATAAATCGATAACACAACAGCACGTGCGGGCTTAAACAGATGGACGGGCATACACTGATGCAACGCTGGAAGTGTACCTGCATATACTTTACCGATAAACCGTTGTAAGCCCCTACAAGGATCGGATAATGTATATTGTGAGATTTAATTTCTCCATTAGAAAGATTTAACTGGATTTTAAAAGAACGTGCTTATTTGTAAGCACCGCTGTATGTACAAAATACACTTTGCTGTACTAGTACTGCAAGTTAAGAGTTAATCATAAACCTGTTCCTTGAGCCCAAAGGTCTTGATCTTTAATAAATAAGAATATATTCTAGATACATTATGTATCTTTGGTTGTGATGGAGCCAATATGTGTGCAGTCGGATGCCAGACAAATAGGGAACAACTCCATAGTCATGTTTGTTCCCACCACTATTATGCAATATTATGTATTTTAACCTATAGACAACATGTTAAGTTTAACTTTACAACAGCTAACACACACACAGCACTCCTCTCTCTCCTGCCACGCCTCTTCCACTAACCTCTTCTTGATCAGGTCCAGTGCAGAGCCAATGAGACCATCCTTCATCTTATAGATCTTGGCTCCATAGCTAGACAGTTCGGTCCCGTCCAGCAGCAGAGCAGGGCAGCAGCTGGAGGGTCGTTCCCACTTCTCCCTGCTGGGCGGAAAGGGAACTGACCCAGCAGGTTCCAGACTGCTCCTCCTACGCTTGGCGCTCCCATCATCCCCTCCTACGTTGCTGGCCTTTTCCTGGGCCGAGCCACCCTGGGGCGGCAGGGGTGAACGTGGAGAGGGCCCCGTGCGGATGGGAGAGTACGTGCTGGTGTCAGAGATGGAGGAGGGAGCGGGAGCTGCAGTGCCGTTAGCGCTCACAGCGTTGAATGTACGTTTCTCTGAGGACGTGATGGCCTCGGGATTTTCTCTCTGCTTTTCCAAATGAGGGTCTGAAAGGATTATCGCACCATCTGATGCTCCTGGGTCTTGCTGCAGGTCAGCTGCAGGTTTTTCAGATGGTGTAGCATCCACTGTGGACTCAAGGTTCTGCTTCCTCTCCATCTGCCGCATCCTCTTAAACTCCTCAAAAGTAGGTATATGCAAGCGTCCCAAAGGAGGTCTTCGAGGCTCTAATGTAGAGTCTGATCTGCTTCTGTTACCTGAAATACTGTCTGTTGTGTAGGATGTCTTAACTGCCTGCTGGGTG